AAAGACATCCTTGGAGTGCACTGCAAAACATCCAATGCTGGTTGTTTAGCAGAACTTAAAAGACTACCACTTTGGTCCAAAATTTCCCTCTCAAGTATCAAATATTGGAATCACCTGAAAACTTCTGATTCTTTGGCCTTTAAACTTTACCAATCCACAATTAACTGTAATTCTTGGACTAAGAAATTATTTTCTATTCTTGATAATCTTGGATTCTCTAACATTACAAAATATACAGGTTCCATCCAACACCTTTTACCAAACATTAAACAAAGAATCATAGATCAGTGCACTCAAGAGCAAACATCAAAAATCTTTGGTTCAGAAAAACTTGATCTCTTCAAGAAAGTATACTCAGGAAAAAGAAGTCCTTATGTTGATTTACTCAAAAAAAGATCTGAGAGATCCTCTCTTAGTAAAATTAGACTAAGCGCACATAAACTTGCAATAGAAAGTGGTAGATATATTTCCACATCAAGAAATGAAAGATATTGTAATGTTTGTAATACTGGTGTGATTGAGGATGAAATACATTTTCTTTTTCACTGTAATTCTTACTCTAAGCTAAGAAACGCATTCTTTAGTAATATTTATAACATAACAAAGAAAAATATTAATCTTAGCAATGAGAAATATATGCTACAATTATGTATAAACAGTAATATACAAAAAGTCTTGAAAGTTACTGTTAAATATATCAGAGACTGTTTTGATCTTAGAAGTCAATTACTTGACAATTCTTGAAAAAATATGTAAACATTATTTAATGTTGTTCAGTGGGCCTTTGCCAATTATTGTAATTGTGTTTGTGCCAATAAAGTATTTGTATTTGTATTTGTATTTTATCTACATTTAAACCATTTTTCACATTAGCCATGTTTCATTAGCAAACTGATGTTTTACACTTACCTTTTCCATTTTAAGTATTCAAATCAATACAGGATTGAAACAGCTAGATCTTATCTTTTCTTTTGTCTGTGTAAGGCGCACGTGCGATGTAAAATGGCGAAAGTTACGGTGAGGCTGTATCATCAACACCCGTCTTTAATTTATCACGTGACAAAATTTTACACCATTTTATGATTTATCAGGCTTTCATATAAGTATGAAATTAATCAAAGTGAACACATGTGATAGTCAACAGCAGGAGCGAGCATCTGGCTTTCAATTGATAACAATCATATAACAAGCATGACGGGGGGGGGGGGGGGGTGGAGGAGGGGGGGGGATTAGCTAGCTGATAGATATGCAGCCGCACCGGCACTATATAATAAACATCTGTTAACAAATAAATTACTGTAATAAATATATTTGAATTATCGTACTATTGTTACTTGATTTTTTTTTTATAATAATCCATTGAATTCAATCAAATTAAATTTTTAGATTAAAAAAAAAAAGAAACAAAGGAAATAAACATACTTATAATAGGTATGCCGTACGTGTTTATCAAAATTGTTTTTCAAAAGTCTTGTTTCCATGTATTTTTTTTATTCTATTTATATTTTTATTTACTTATCTATGCATTTTGTTACAAATAAAAAAAAAAAAAAAAAAAAAAAAAGAAAAGGCTGCGTGTGAAAAATACTGGTACGAATTAACAGTTCAATCTTCATCTGTCTGTAGTCCGAGGCTTTCCGTATTGGGTCTGGTGTTACTGTTCTGAACGCTAACCCCGATAGTACATGGTATAATGGTAATACCACAGACAGCATTGAGAGCTGTAACCCCGTTAACTTTTTTGTCAGTTCAGAGCTGTAACTCTGTTCGCATCGGGTGAGTATGAAAATACAAACGTGATAGAAACAGCGAAAATACAGTATGGAAAATGTGTATTCAAAGTCAATAAAGTATAAATATTCTACTGACATAAATATCCGATCCCAAGTGGTAGATTATATTTTTAGACGGAAAATATCGATAAAATATGTCTGTTGCACATGCAATGCGATAAGCAGACATGATGATTAACAAACAAGATTTATTCAAAACATGTGTTAGTGTTAAAAATCGGTTGCTTATCGAAAAAAGTGGTGCTGATTTGTAAAACTTTATCTCCTCAAAGAAAAAGATAAAATTAAAAAACGGGAATTCCACAGCGCAGAATTGAATATTATATGTTAGAAAGGTCGTAGAATGGTTTCAGGAATTCAATTTTGCACGTTTTCAATATTTAAGGAATTGGTTCATTTAATATCATAAGTTATGTATATAACAGGTATGGAATATCTATTGCAACATGGAAACAAATAGATTAGAGGACTGACCTCTGAAGACTTTCTTAGCTTTTCATTTACCATGTTTGCTTAAATATGACTTCACTTGGTTTTAAAAGATGTTTAAAAATTAATGAAAATCATCTTTACATATTGCAGTATTGTTTTTCCGTTGGGTTTAGATATAAGAATTGTACAGAAAAAAGTTTCAACTACAATTTACCTTTTTCATAGGTATCAGTCACGTAACTGCGATATTATGTCTTAGTTTGATGGTTCATTTATAAAGATCTCATGGAATCTTATCACAGTCAAGAAGCTAAAATGGTTTTGTCTTAAGTTTACATCATGATCATTTCCACAATGAATCTCCAAAGGCATGTTACTCTGTTATGATACATGTATAATGATTTTTGTAATTTATTTTTTTTTAATCTGAGAAGGATTTTAATATATTTTGATGATTTTGAATTACTAAGATTTGGTATACAGTGTGTATGAGTGTTTAAAAAAAATTATAGGATTGATTAATAAAATGTCTGAAAAAGTAATGAACCTCCAAAGGCATTTAACTCTGTTGTGATATAACTATTTTTGCAATTTATTTAACTTAAATCTGGAGACGATGTCTGATATATGAGACTGATTAAAAGATGGTCTGAAAAAGTAATGATACTGGTTTATCAGCTGGGTTTGCAGCACATGAAAAAAGTGTAACGGTTGACTCTACAGAGGAGAGACCAAATATCCCTCTGACCTTCTTGTCGTCAGGTAAAGATTTATCCTCATTATACCAGGTACTAAAATATTTCAAGGTTTATCCTTTAAGTATTGTTCATGTACAAACCGCATCTTTATGGAAACATCGATAATGTTTAATGTATATGTCTTTTCTGCTTCTGCTCAAATTTCGTATCTTTCAACAAAAATTAAAAAAAGAGATATTCTAAGTTTAAATATTGCTATCTCTACATAAGGTTGGAAAAATTCAACTTTGCCTTAGTTCCGAAAAGTATCAACGTCATCATCAAATTTGTAAAAAAAAGAAAATTAAAAAAAAAAAACCATATCAATGAGTTTTTCGGGAAAATTACTTAAAGGTTCCGTTTGTCTGTCAAGTTCTCTGAGCTAAAATGTTTACAAAAAGGAGGTGCAGTTTGGGATTGACCAGTTCATATAACTTACTTAAAACGAATTACAGTATAATTTACTAGCAATTTCTTTAAAAATTGTTTCTATGTTCCATATATATATATATATGAATATTATAAAACCACTATATTAAATTACTATTGTATATTTCTTTAAAATATTAATCGGTTTCTTTCTTGTTACATTCTATTACTGAGTGTTATATAATTGTCAATAAATATAAACATTCCCTCTTTTTTCTTCTTAATTTTCTTTATCTCTTCATTTTGTAAAGAACAAGTACAATGTATTACTACTCAACAGGGCATCTGGAACCAATCCAACTCAAAATGTGTCAAAGATACGTCCCCCTCTTCACTGAAATTAAGATAAATAAAAATATTTCGACACACCATTCGTTTACATACTTTTCCTCTAATAACCCCCTTTTCCTTCTGAAATGATACTCGACGCATTTTTTTTTCACCATAAAAAAATCAAATGAATGAGACTGGGTTTTGCTTTCTAATAGTTGACCCGAGCTCCCTTAAATCAAATGAATTGTAATTTTCATAAAAATCGTCAAGTGTCAGTCATTCTTTTTTCTTATCACCTAAAATCTTTGAAATTTTAAGCTTTTTTTTTTAAATTACCTTTTTCACTATTCTCAAAAGCACTCCTTGGACATGCGGATTCAGATTTGCTCAAACAAAGGGTCATGTCTTATTTCAAGTGTAGATATATGTTATATTGAGAACTTGTCCCTGTAAATAATGTTTTCTTATCGACAAGTGTAAATTCAAAAGGATAAACTAAGGTCATATGTATTAGCTAAGGATGGGACTACCTGAAAGTTTTGCATCGGATACAATATATAAGTGAGTAAGTGAGTGTATATTGTCAAACGTCCCTCTCGAGAATTTTTCACTAATATGGAGTCTACGGTATATAAAGGGAATTAATCCTAAGAAAGGTCCGTCAAAAGATCAACAGTCTCGGTTAAAATACAAGTTGTACAAAATTAAATTTTTCCAATCATACTAGTGGTCTTTCGGAATTTGAGGATTTTAACAAAAATCTTATCCTTCATTTGCCACCATTTGATTTAAACATAAAAAAAAATGTAAAATGAGCCATGATAGTCAGATCAAAACTTCTAGTTTTATTGATAAATCAGCTGACGGTGATGACAAAAAGGTGGGAAATTACAGTGTATTTAATGCATGCAACCTGATTGATTGATTGATTGTACATTGTTTAACGTCCCTCTCGAGAAGTTTTCACTCATATGGAGACGCCAACACTTGCCGGTGGGGAGCTGCAAATTTTGTCCTATATTCGGCACTCATGGTCATTGAGCAGGGAGGGATCTTTTTCATGCCAGCACCTACTGCGACACGGAACCACGGTTTATACGGTCGCATCCGAAGGACCGGTCTCTACGTCCCACAGTGGGATTCGAACCCGCGACGAAAGGATTGACTCCTTACTTTGCGATTCTAGAGCAGACGCTCTAACCACTGCGCCACGCGGGCGACTGCATGCAACATGAAGAACTTACCAATGGATTAAGATAAAATGGAATGTCGTTTTTCTTGTCCTCTGCAAGGGCTGCATAATTGGTATATACAGTGTATGGTAACCAATACAATACAGACACGCAAGGACGATCACCAAGGTCAAGGTCACACTTTTTTCACCAGCATTTGCAGGGGTCAAGGACATTCGAGGCTGAATATTAGCATGGTGTCTGATGTTTGAATATCCGATTATGACAGAATACCTATATAGCCAACGGATTGTTTCCAATTTGTTTAACAATGTGAATAAAAATTGGTTGTCCATAAATGGGATATTTGGGCCCACACTGTAAAGTTTTTTCATTGAAAATGGGGTTTGATTGATTGATTGATTGATTGTATATTGTTTAACGTCCCTCTCGAGAATTTTTCAATCATAAAGAGAGGTCACCGTATGCCGGTGAAGGGCTTCAAATTTTGAACATTACTCGGCACTCAGGACCATTGAGCAGTGAGGGATCTTTATCGTGCCAACGCCCGCCGCTGACACGGGGCCTCGATTTTTAAGGTCTCATCCGAAGTACCCGCAACTTTCACTTCAAAATGCCGAGCGCATGGCGAAGGAACAGTTGCTACCGAGATGCGAACTCACGACATCCCGATCACGGAGCGAGCGCTCTATGGGGTTTGAAATGAGGGTGTAAATACCGAATACAATGGCATAAATCCAGGCTGCACCACAGGCTTTTGGATCGCTTAAAAAAATTGTGTGTGTAGAAAAAAATAAAGGTACTGAACTCTTTCACTGGGTACCTAATTTCGCTAATAAAATATTTTTTATTCTAATGCTCTAAATTTCTACTTTCTAGTTACGTCTATTCATAGATAAACATTCTTCGATTCTACCAAAGCTCATTCCGAAATTCCATATATTTCTTGAGATATTCTGAAATCAATTTTAAAAATTACCTACTTCTGTTACTCGACATTAGCTTGTGCCCCTGGTCATTCACATGTAAACAGACGGTGTTTGAAGTGCGGCGAAGAGCTGCATAGTATTTGCAAAATCTTTCATCAATTTAAAGTTGATTTCTTACGCCAGATTGTAATGTTAAGTCCGTAATAATATTCCTTTTGCGAAAAATTAATTTGAAAACGTCTACATCAACAACTACCGCCATGATGATTATGAATGTAAATGAAGCCATGGCAGAACGAATTTTTCCCGGAATGCCTTAAATACCTTTCGATTTTCAAAACAATTAGGCCGCTAAAATGTTGTTTATGACTTAGTTACACCATATGATCAAATTAAAGAAAAACCTTGTAAAGCTCGAATGCAAATGAGCAAATATTCATTGAGTTTAGAATAAATTCCGGGGAAAATTTGTCCTGTCGTTCCTGCTTTACAATTAGTGAAGGCCCAAGCTGATGTCGAGTAAAAAAAATTAAGGTCAATTTGGGAATTTATTTGAGAATATCTCGAGAAGTCAAAGGAATTACGGAATGAATTTTTATGATGATAGTAATGAAGATTGTTTAGATTTAAATAGATATGGATAGAAAGTAAAATTGTAAAGCATTTAATTTAAAAGGATTTTATTGGCGAAAGTAGTTACCCCATGAAAAGAGTTCCATACCTTTATTTTTTTTTTTACAACACCTCAATTTTTTTCTAAGAGATCTAAAGGCCTGTGGGCTGCACCTATCATAATCACAAGACGAAGGACCATCTTTAAGCAATCGCTTAATGGTAGCTTAATGATGACTTAATGGTGGCTTTTAGAGGTTATTTCCTATAAGCCACCATTAAGCTGCAATATATAGGTGCTTAATATCCAAACTTCATAAAGTTACCATAAAAGCACCCTTAAGC